TCTGAAATACTCGGTGTTATCTCCGATTTAGCTTGTGAAAACCTATTAAGAAACCTCCAGTTATCCTTCGGCTTATTTGAACACATCGCAACCACAGTGTCATAACGCACAATCTATTATCATTCATGTAAAAATCGAGAGAAGTTAACGATATTAAGAGGCAAAAATTTGGCGCATTTCATCTGAAATTACAAATTACGCTGGGTAGGGGTTAGATTTCTTTCAAATGCAGCCGTATCTGGTGTTGGATTTAAAATCGTATGATACCATTTCTTAACCAATAGTTAATTGTTATTGTGGATTTCTGATTTTGCATCATTAATTTCACCTTTAACAATACATGTTACTAGACACGTACTAAAATTAACATACATGATTATTCTATCGAAATTGAATGTTTATAATTTAATTTATCAAGAAATGATGAACTTTGTTTTGAGTGTGGGTGCTTATGTGAACGAGTTTCTGTATTGACCACTCTGGCACTGACTATTCAATGTAGTTTACTTTTTAATCATATACGGCCATTTGGCCATGTGTAATTTTGATTACCATTGATAATTATGAATTGCTATACACATATCACTATAATAAAATATTTATTTACATTAAGACTACCCGGGCGGCTATAAAACCATAGAAATATATATCATAATCTTCATAAACAAAATGAAGAATGTCAGCACAACCAAGTTTCAAAGTTACATGTTAAATGTTAATTTATAAGTTTTTCAGACTTATTTACTGAATCAGTGAGGTAATATAAACAGATGTAAGGTCCCAAGACCACAATCAAGCTGTCAAATGAGGAAAATATTGTCACAGCGACAGGCGTCTGCCGTTAGGAATTACTTTTTATGAAATAAAAAAAATAGTATGCTTATGTGTTTAAAGACCATAATTTTCAAATAGGAAACCCTGGTTTAGATTTAAACAAAAACAGCTTATGCTAAAGACACCGATAATACAGTACTTAAATTTTCTGTGCAAATACTTTTGGTAAGGGATGCTCCGAAAACTGACCATTCTGTGACAGAATGGGCAGACCGAGGCATGGTGCACCGAGATATGTTTTGTCTCTCACTTAATGGAAAGTTTGAGGAATTTCTCTTAGTATACTTATAACATGTTCTCTATTGTCATAATAATAGAGAGTTGTACCAATCCATGCATTCAATGCAAAAGTTGAAGCATGCTTACCTCCAATGTTACCCGATTGGACACTTGACATAACTTTCTGTGAAGCGGGCGGGGAAAACATGAAGATAAAATACATGATTTCCATGCTTTACTGTCTTATTTTGTGCGTATGTCCAGAAATGTTTGAACATCACTATCGGTTATAAGTATGGGACTATAATAGATATTGATATTTTAGAGTAAAAGTATATATATTTTTTATCAGTGATTATTGTTTTGTTTTTCCCTTCGTAATTGTGATTACAATTCAACAGATTTACATCCTTTAACTAGTACAAAATTGCTGTTTTGCTTCGTTTCTACCAAGAAAGTCCATAAAATTAAAGCAATGCAATCAAGGGAAATAACCCTAGTGAAAAGACCACAAATCATGACATATCTTCGATTGCTGCACATGGTGCTGAACTTATACTGTTTGTCTGTCTTATTGCTGCACATGGTACTGAACTTATACTGTTTGTCTTATTGCTGCACATGGTGCTGAACTTATACTGTTTGTCTGTCTTATAACACGTTGTAACATTTCAAAAGCCAAATCTACTGATAATACAACAAAAGGGTTGATTCAATAGCTGGATTCTTTGTTCGATAACAATAGTTTCAAAGAACGAGAGAAGCTTTTACAAGAATTTGTTTCAATTGTAAAGCCACGAGAGCAAAAAGATATTGGCAAAAATATTTAAGTCAGTGATAACTTAAAGTAGGTTAATATAACAGAAGAACGTTTCAAATCATAATACTTTCTGTCACCTACGATAGGGATATGAAGATATGATTTATGTATTTTCCAGCTCCAGTAGCATGCAATTGATATATGGATTAAGAAATGATGCAATATTACATTTTATTATCATCCAAAGATACATGCACATGTACACATTTTATGTATAAGTCTAAATAATGAATTCACTTAATTTTGTTTGCTTGTTAAATTTCTACGCTCTCCTTCATATTCTAGCGCGCTAGCTAGCTGGTTTAAAGCAGGGAAATAATATAATCTCTCAGCGAGCTGAAAGATACAGCGTATCTGTCCGCAACGACAATTAAAAAATTAACTTTACGAAATCCGCGGTAAATTTACATTTTTATGTAAAAAGCAGGTACTTTATTTAAGATTTATTGGGACATTTAGTCAAATTTATTGAAGCACAATTGTTTTACGGGTTATATTACGGGCTTTACAATTCGCTCAACACGTGAAATAAATTTATTCATTTTTTAGTGCAAAATATTGTTGAGATTGTCAAGATTGTCATATTCATAGAATATTTAAAATATTTAAATCCGTGTTTGCACTAACTTTCCCGACTTGTACATGTGTACAAATGCTGACCCGGATAATTACGCTGTTACCCAGCATCGCTCAATCTTTAATTACTATGCGAAACGGGGTACGCATCAGGTATATCCGGGTCAGAATTTGTATACATGTACCACGGGCAGTCGGTGCGTGGCTTGGATAGCATACATGTGCTTTACCACGCCCACATATTTTTTTTTTCACTAATAAAATATTTTTTCAATTAAATGTTTTTAAAATATCATATTTTCATATAACGACTTAATAAATACATTTTTGTATTACCTGTATTTAATGTTTTTATGTTTCTATAATGTATATTGCAAAAAAAGAACAACAAAACAAAACCAAAACAAAAAAAAAACACGGTCGGTTTGTATTAAAATGCGCCGCTACCGAATTGTTGTATTAGGTTAGTATTCTTGATAACATTGAGAAGATAAAAAAAAAATAGGGACATTCATGTACCATAATACCTGCTAGAAATTGCAAGTTGCTTGAGTATTAATTAAAGTATTGGACTTTGTTAATGTGTGACTGACTTTGTTAGGATAAGCCGGAATAACATTAAATTTTGACCCCCATGAGTCAATTATTGATCATTTTTTCAGGTTGAAAATTAACCCCTGCTTGATATTCCTGTGAAACTTTGTTGTTTTATATATGCTTACGTATTGAAATACAATACTAAACTCTAGTAAATGAACATATGAACGGTAGACCTAATATAACCTACGCTCTCGAATTATCCAGATACTCTCGTAGATATGTTAATTTTTTTGTTATGCCCCCGCCATATAATGGCAGGGGCATATAGTGTTACCCTGTTCCGTCATTCCGTCATCATCAGTTTCCGTTCGTTATCTTAGTAACGTTTGCACACATTCAACTCAAATTTGGCATATGGATATGTCATGAGAAAATACAGGTCAAGTTCGAATTTGGTCATGGTTCAATGACATTTCGTCTGACAAACCCTTGACTTTTTTTCAACTCAGACCGATAAAAAAATCTGTCAGAATGACACATTTACAGCAATTTAAATCTTTTTACCAAGCAATGCCATCGTTATACTTTAAGCACACCATGTTTACTGTGTACTGTTAACAAGATTTTCAAGGGAGAGTAATCTCAATAGCAAACAAGGAATTTGTCAATATTAGTCTCCCTTGCGCCTGAAAATACTGTCCGACAAGCTTAAAAAAATCATCTGACTGTTTAAAAATGTTGTTGGTTCGTCAGTCTGACAGTTTCAGGAAGTCTGCGTTTGTCTAAATTTACATGATGAATTCATTCTCCATTTCACGGGGCCTCTGCACAGTGTTTGGATAGTGTAAAAAGTAATTATTGAAAAAAAAATATACTGTACCTCATAATTATTCGTGGTACCCATATTTCCAAGGTATTAGGCATAAACAGTCTCAAGTGCCTCATAGACTTCTGCGAGGAGTTTAACTTTTACGTCCTTATTGTATTTTTATCTAAATGTAAACATATACTACTCAGAAAACTTAATATTTTATTTCAAACTAAGAGCAAAGTAAATTATTTCACCATTTTACTTTTAGTTTTTATACCTTTGATGACAATTGTCTTTGTTAAACAATCATTGAGATACTTGATGAATGCCATACAGAAAATCCCCACTTTCAGACAAGGATAGGTATATGTACAAAAAATAAAGATTACTATTGGTTTTGCTTTTGAAACTATTATTGAGCATGCAATAAATGTTCATATATTTATAATATAGGTAACGGCTGACAGTCTTCGAAATTAACGCCAGTCCGAGGCCCGAGGCCACTAAATTTAGCATTGGTCTGGTGATTATTGCAAGGTTGGTGGTCCGACAGGCCAGTAGATTTTTGGCAATGCAAATATATTATAAGAAAAAATCATCAAAATAATGAAGCAGGGCTCTCTAAAATACTGTTTTTTTGCAAATGAAACCCATCAATTCTGTCCTAAATGTTCAAAATACAGCGAGAGATGTCTAAATTTTATTGAGTAATGGAGACCGCCATTTTTTTCTTGGATATTTTCCGTACCGCCACCGTACAGTTACGGAAAATTAAACCATTGTTTATTATGGTCTATTATTTACCTATGATTTTGTTATTATTGAGTTTAAGTAAATATTTTGTTGTGAAAGTGATTCGTTTTTAAAGCAAATTGCATTGTTCATGTTCAATTCTAGTCAATTTAGCCTTAAACATTTGTCTTCATAGATTTTTCAAAGCTGTCAACATACATGTATGGCCCAGAATTCAAGAAGTATTATGCTTCTTTCAAAATTATCAAGGGAAGCATGATAAAATGTTTTCCTTTACCCATCGAATTATTACCTATCTGAATGTATTTGGTCCGGCTAAAAATCAACAGGTCCAGTAAGATTTGAAATTTTACTGGCCCGAATGTCCTTGTGCTTTTTAAAGTTTTTCGTGAAGACTGGGCTGATATTACTACATCTCCCTTCTTTTAGAATAATAAAAAAAATGTGCATAAATTATCATCATATAAATACTAAACAGTTAATGTGTAAATTTTATTTTTTAATTGCAGCAAAAAAAATCCATTAGACAATACGTACATTGTCATGAAATTTTGAAAATGATCATTCAGAAATTTTATGGAATAAGTGCTTGTTTGAATCTATTTTTTTTTTAAATATCATTTTTCAAAACTTAAATAAAATCAAGCACACCCATTTATAAATACATGTCTGGGGTCATGAATTAGATTGTATGTATGAATGTCAATCTAGATTTTGCCCTCATGAGTTACAGAGTTGGATCATGTCCTTAAGTCTATGTGTATCATCCTAAATTTTGACCATAAAAAATAAATGTTTGTTATTTATAAACCAACTGTAAGTAAGGAAAAGAATTAAATGTTTGCCATTTTGATAACCTTTGTGACAATTTGTGCAAATTTTATTAGCAATGAATTATTTATTACCTAAATAGACATTTCAATACCAGATATAACTGATCTAATTATTCTTGTAGCTTATGTCCACTTAGGGACCATAATATATAGACTTAAAGTCAGTACTACAGAAAGGACCAATTAAGTTTATACACGCATTCTCAATATCATTTACAGAAAAGTCCTGAAAAGGTTTCTCTTTTATTACATACTTTATGAAACATAAACCATTATAATTATTACTACTTCACTTTACAGCTAAAGCATCTATTATCACTGACTAAACTAGATAAATGCCAAACCTTAATGAACGCCAAACATGGACAAATTGAATATTTTACAGGCTTTGTGTCAATTTTAATCTGTCCATGGACGGTGGAAGAAAATACAAGTTTCTGAATTCTTTCTGACACTTTGATCTAATAAAATAACCTATTCTATTTTGGTTATTTGACTTATGAGTTCAAGAATTATCTTAATTGTATTTATGTTGTAACATTACTTATTGCTCTACCACAGCCCTCCGTCTTTTATCCTTTTAGTCACCATAAGATGAAATAGTGAAATGGGAAACTAATAAATGACCTGAAGAAAGACAAAATTAAAATTGTTGTAGGCTGAATTTAAATATGTTTGGACTGCATTTGTTGTTGCATGTTTTAATACCATCGACTTCCTGACATACTTGATAATTTGAATATTGTGATGATTTAATTATATGCTTAAACAGTGTAAAAACTTATGTTATAGACAGACAGCATATCCGAATAGAGATTAAAAAAGAAATATTAAGGAACGGCAAAAAAACCGGCAAAAGTGACATTGTTGCATGCTCGGGTCATTTTCGAGTGTGTTCCTATGTCATGGTTAGTAAAACCCTTTCATTTTAATCAATCACATACGGTCATTTGTCTCTCTCCACTGATTCAGAAATTATGTAGTCTGTTACTGTTTGAAAATACTGGTAATTATACTGGTAAGGTCTCCAGGGAAAGCCAGTTAGTTGATGTAGTCAGTTACTGTTTGAAAATACTGGTAATTATACTGGTAAGTTCTCCAGGGAAAGCCAGTTAGTTGATGTAGTCGGTTACTGTTTGGAGATATTGGTAATTATACTGGTAAGTTCTCCAGGGAAAGCCGGTTAGTTTCAGGGCCTTTGTTCTCATTGTTACTTGTGCTAGTAGTGTTTGCGCTTTTTGTATAACCTGCAAATGAAGGACAACACATCTGACTTACATTTGCAATATTTTTTTTTAACACCTATAAAGCCACTTGCTAAATGTGAATAAATCAAAGAACATGTAGAATATTGATAAACTGGTAAATATGTAACAAACCCTTTTTGTACTCTGCTGTGAATATCAAATATGATTTTAAAGACCCTGCTTTTATCGAGAATTTGAACGTATGGACTGCAGTGGTTAAGTTTAGTTTGTGCTTAATTCAACAATATCAATAATAAAAGGTTAAATATGTTTCCTGCTAAACATCTAAGCTCTAGCTCATTGGGCTTTTTAAAAGAAGATTTTTTTTTAAGTTTTTACTATACACATATAGTTAAAAACAATGACACCCCTGGGGCCGGGCCAGTTTTGACCCCAGGGCTCTATTTGAACAAACTTTGTAGACACTTACTAGAAGATGTTTCATGCTTAATATCTAAACTCTAGCTATTTGGGTTTTTTCAAAGAAGATTTTAAGTTTTAGCTATACACATATAAAGAAAATCAATGACCCCCGGGGCGGGGCCAATTTTGACCCCAGGTCTTTTATTTGAACAAACTTTGTAGACACTCACTAAAAGATGTTCCATGCTTAATATCTTAACTCTAGCTATTTGGTTTTTTTTTTAAAGAAGATTTTTTAAGTTTTTTGCTATACACATATAAGGAAAATCAATGACCCCCGGGGCGGTGCCAATTTTGACCCCAGGGCTTTTATTTGAACAAACTTGGTAGACACCTATTAGAACATGTTTCATGCTCAATATCTTAGCCATAGCTCTTTGAGTTCTTTAAAAGAATATTTTTTAAGTTTTTACTATATGCATATAAGAAAATCAATGACCCCCCGGGGCGGGGCCAATTTTGACCCCATGGCTTTTATTTGAATAAACTTGGTAGACACTTATACGAACATGTTTCATGCTAAATATCTTAATTAGCTCTAACTCTTTTGGTTCTTTAAAAGAAGATTTTTTAAGTTTTTACTATATGCATATAGGGAAAATCAATGACCCCCTGGGGCGGGGCCAATTTTGACCCCAGGGCTTTTATTTGAACAAACTTGGTAGACACTCACTAGAAGATGTTTCATGCCAAATATCTAAGCTCTAGCTCTTATGCTTTTTTAAAAGAAGATATTTAAAGTTTTTTCTTCCGGTTGCCATGGCAACCAGAGTTCTGCATGGAATTAAATTCTTTGAACAATTTTTAAAGGTGACCACCAAAGGAACATTCCTGTGAAGTTTGGATGAAATTGGCTTAGTGGTTTATGAGGAGATGTCATTTAAAGTAAAAGTTTACGGACGGACGGACGGACGGACGCCGGACGAAAAGCAATCACAAAAGCTCACCATGTCACTTTGTGACAGGTGAGCTAAAAATATCATCCCGAGGGAAAATAAGCTATATAAATTTTTACTATTAATACTATTTAATATATATATAATGCATCGTATACATTTATATTCATACTTGCTCGAGTACGTGTATTAGTTGTTCTTGTCGAATCAAGATACAAGAACAACATAACCATTTGTCGGTAAATTGAGCTATTTAAATAAATTACTTACGGCAACACGAAACTCTTTCTATGTTTCTAAAATCACTTTCTAGAATGATAGAACTCCGTTTACTTGATCTCGTAACCAAGGCAACATGTCTTGCATTATACAATCTCAACATTGCGAAGATTTTTGATACGAGCATATAACTGAAAAAGGCAAACATTATTGTTATAACAATGCAAAACATTTATAGAAGATATTCAAGTTTTGATTAATGCAGTAGTTATTTTCATCGAGTGGTATAAAAATTGATATTTCACAAGTGGCGGCAGCCACGAGTAAATTATGATAATTTTCATAATAAATCCTGTATTTAAAAAAAAACTTAAATTTTCTGTTTATTATATAATTTACCTCTTTTTGACCTTACAACTTTTAACACTTCTACTTGAATTTTGTGTATTGGCTGAATAATTAAGAAGAAAGTAGTCTGGCAAGACACAAGTGAAAATACGGATAATAATTTTTTTTTTCTGCAGGGAAAAATAGAATTTTACACTGAAAATACGGAAAATGAAAATATACATTTCATTTCATCAACATTTCTCAATACATGTATTTAATTTATAAGTATAAAATAAACATGTATTATATCAGCTTATTAAAAATTGTCGTTAACCCCTTGAAACTGAGGGGTGTCGGTTTAAACACAGGTGAACGTCGCGTGGCCATGACTTACACTATACCCCCGTTCCCGCTCTACAACCCAAAACCCTTTATAAATCATAAGTATTGACAAAAATAAATTTTATGAAAAGAAAATTTTATGACTAAAAAATTATAAAGGTATTTTACTCTACTTTCATTTTGCATACAAATATCACTAGCATCTCAATTATCAGCGCATATACGAGGGACGGTCAGAAAATATCAGGATTTTTCATGCTCCTCTCTTTCCACGTGCAGCTTTATACAAACATTATATATTGGTGAAAACTACATTCATTCGCCAATAACGTGGACAGTTTATTTTCAATGAAAGTTGTGTATACACAGTATTTTGCCCTCTGATATATGATAGGTGTTTCGTCTATCATGGACTCTTTGTTAGAGGAACAACGCTCTGTAATAAAGTTTCTGGTTGCAGGTGATAAGCCCTGCCACATCTTTCAGAGGCTTGAAAAAAGATTTTCTGATAAATGTGTATCACGTTCAACCTTCTACAACTGAGTTTCTCAGTTTCGTGAAGGCAGAACAAGTGTTTGTGACAGGCCTAGGACTGGGCGGCCAGCTGAGGCGGTGACCCCAACAATGGTAGCAAATGTTAAAGCTTTTGTCAACAAAAATCGTCGGGTAACTTTGGAGGAGGTAGCCAACAAGTTTAGCATTGGAAAGGCATCGGCACACAAGATTTTACACGAAAACCTAGGCATGAGCAAGGTAAGTGCCAGGTGGGTGCCTATAGACAGCTGTCCGCAGATCAAAAGGCAACCAGAGTTACCAATGCAAAAGACGTTTAAGTCGTTTTAAACGTGAAGGAGATAAGTTTTTGAACCGTATTATCACAGATGAGATGTGGGTACATTTTTCCGAACCTGGGACAAAAGCTCAGTCAAAGCAGTGGAAACGAGCTGGTTCCCCATCTCCTAAAAAGTTTAAGCTGTCTCCTTCGACTGGCAAAGTCATGCTTGTTGCCTTTTGGGATTCACGAGGAATGATACTTACTCATTTCATGCCAATAGGTCAAACTGTCACCGCCAAGTACTATTCTGAAGTAATTCTGAAAAATCTCAGAGAAAAGCTGAAGCAAATGCGTCCCAGGTTAGCACAGAAAAATGTCCTCCTTCTTCACGATAACGCCCCCTCCCATACCGCCGCAGCTACAGTGGAGGTTATCAACTCTTACAAATGGTAATTGTTGTCTCACCCTCCTTATATCCCAGACCTCGCCCCCTGTGACTTTTATTTGTTTCCAGAACTGAAAAAATTGCTTGCTGGAAAGAAATATTAAGACCAGGGCGCTTTGATATCTGCTGTTACACAGTACCTAAAACATAGGTCACAGCGGGAATACAAAAGCTCCAATGAAGATGGCAAAAGTGCGTAGACGTAAGTGGAGCATATTTTGAAAAAGAGTAGAAAGATTTTTTTTTAAAAAGTTGAATGGTTTTCGAGAACGAGTCAAAAGTCCGGATATTTTCTGACATCCCCTCGTATTCATCAATTTTTCACCGGATTTAACACTCCTGGTGTCAAATCTTAGATAAATAAATACTTTTTAAGGAATCAACACTGACACCTTCACTGATTATACGTAGCAAGTAATATTCAAGCCCAAACTGTCAACAAATGAAACTCGGAAATGATCTGATTGCACTGTTTCGCCGCGCAGTGGCGGATTCAGGTCCGGGCTTCAGGGCTGCAGCCCCCAACTTGTCCCAAAGATACGTTAACCAGCTGGGCTGGAATATTTTTGTCAGTTTCAAACTTTATTGGCTGTAGTGTACTCAAAATATTTACTGCTGTCATCCAGTTGTTAATCTCCTGCCTGGGGGCTTGGCAGAGATCTTTATCTATCAACATGCTTGAATATCTTCGATGTTTAAACTGCATAATTGATTGGTTTACTACTTTCCAAAGGTCTAATGAAATTAATATCACAAATAGTGGCAATAGATGTGTTACATTGTACACTATATTTTACTGTCTTAGTTTTTCCATTTTCTTTGCGAAAGCCCTTTAATTAAGAAATTGAAAATTATTATTTGTAAATTAAAAGATGGCGAGTTTTATGAAGATAGTATTAAAGGAATCGCATTTTAATAACTAGTTTTACTAATATTTTTATCAAGATGAAATGATTGGCCATTTACTTTTAATAACTGTTTAATTTTGACATTTATATTTTTAAATAAAATTTAAATTGTAGTGACCTCTGGATTCATTGATGGAAAGAAATTCTTATTGAATATTAATTAGTGTTTAAAATTATGTTTTTGTACAATAAAAAGGCAGTTTTTTAATACCACTTTAATTATTTATATCAGAAAATTGATCAAGCATTTGAAATTAATTTTATCAACGGTCGTGCATACATTGGTAATAAAGTGTGCTGTTATATCCCCGTACTGCCATTTTCAGATCAGCTAACATATTTTTCTACAATAACTGACAGTGAAATTATAAAACATTTTTTTCTTTTGCAATTCTGCAAATATCATCATTTCAGCTAATAAATGCAACAACTTTTTGAATTTTTACCTGAATTATTAGTATGTATGGTAGACAAACCATTACTGACCCATTTTCCTATTCTTCAAAATTTCACAACCACTTTTCAATCAGTTAACAAATTGTATACAGTGCGACATAAAAATTGTCATTCAACGTGAAAATATAACCAGTTATGTATTATGAAGAAATTTTGAATTACACAACTTCAAATAAATGGTAATAAACAATTCTAACCTATTTATAATGCCATTTTTCAATTTTGATATCCATTTACAGTAGTAAAGCTGTCACAATTGGGGTATGGATGTACATCTCAATTTGAATAACAGAAAAAGCATGTTCTTGTGAAACTTTTTGGATCTTATGGTCGACATGACCCCCTTCTAGTAAAAGCTTACTGAAAAGTTATCAGAGACAATGTTTATCTTTGGTTAATTGACTGTTTCTTTACTGACATATTATGTTCCAAATAAGAATTGTACGGTAAAATATATACATATCAAGATTATAGCTTTTTAGTTCAGTATACATTATGACTTAATGATAGTGAAGCAGTGGTCTAACTTAATATCCATTTCTGCAGACTGACAAAAAACTGAGTCGGTAAATCAAATATTTTTAGAAAATTATTGCGATTTGTAACTGGGTAAATTGAGGATTAGTGGAAAACACAAATTTTACATATTTTGAACTAAAATACTGTTATTTTCTTTTTTGACGCCATAATTGACATTGCTGCTGATAAATGTAGTCAAGTTAAATACAAGATGTGCTTACAGTTTGGTTACATGACAAATAAGGTCAAAAATAAAGAATTTCCAGGGATGATTGAAAAGTGGTTGTGATTGAAAACTGGCAGTATGTGGATATAGTAAATGCTTACTACTAAACACCAGAGGAATTCTATTTGAAAGACCTTGCAAACACTAACCTTTACAAAATATAATGTGATGTTAAACCATCCAAAAGGTACCATAAACAGCACAAGATAGTCAAGGAAAATACAGAATTTACAACCTCATATTTCAAAATATTCTCAGTCTATGGGAGGGGACCACCCCAATTACATATATTTTTTCTTAATTCCATATAATCTAAATATTCACAAAAAAGCATTAGCATACACATATACATGTATAAGCAAAAGTACAATGCCACTCATAACATGAGCTTTAAAACACATCATTTACATTTTTTGTCACATGAACAAGATGCTGGGCCAATCTTCAAAAACAAGCACAATTTCCGCCTGTTGCGTTATTTTTATAAAAATCTTCCACCCATATGTCAGCCCCCCAGGAAACCATTATCTGTATCCGCCACTGTAAAACACACTTAATTCACAGTGAATGAATACGTCTTTGTATTGCGTATTTAAATATGACAAAATTAAATTATTATTTGTAATAATTGTTCAATCAAAGCATCATATGAAACTATCACGCACCTTTTTCCTATATGTCAAATTCTCAATCCAAAATGAAAGAAAAATAGCACAGCAGATGTGTTTCCCTTTGCTTTTGTATCAGTTGTATGGAGTTGTTTTTACTCCTTTAATAGAAACTGTAAATAGGGGAACTTTTTAATTTTTTTATTTTGGAAAACAGTCAGTCCTACCTGCTGCGCATGTATGTACAGTTTTATCCGATTGCGAGTATACTCCTTGCAGAGTGATGCAATTACGTGAAATAATGATGATGAGTATTTTCATTGGTCCGATGTTTTCATGTGACCAATGAAAATACTCCATTTGAAACAATGTGCTGCGTATGGGCAACCGTTGGCGCGTATAAATAAACTCAAACACACACACACACACACACACAAATTGCCATGTGTGTAACATCTGCCTGTCTTTCATACACGGCCTATATATACTGTAGTAACCTAAAAAATGAATTTATAGTTCAGCAAAGAAAGAAAAGAATTAATAGCAGACGTTAATCTAAATCCACATAACTAATATAGGCGTCAATCAGATAATGCCAATGAAAGATTTGTCAAAACCACTTACCCCTTACTAATATCGACGATTATCCCACAGCAATTCCGTAATATTGACAACTCGGTTATTCCGTAATATCGACAAATGCATATTTTATGTACATATGCGTAAGCACATATATTCATGGGCGGACCCAGAAAGTGTTTCTAAGGGATGATAACAACCCCCTGGTAGATCTATTTGGATAAAATGTTATAAAATATGTATTAAATGTAATATTGCAATTTGATGCAAGATTTAGATATCAACTTCTGTTTTTGTTTTTAATAAAAATCACTCAACCCCCTCCCCCATAAAATCTAGTTATGTAAAACATCCTCTGGAATATGGCAGGTAAAAATTCCTGCGGTTTATAACCAGTTGTCTCAAATATTGTTACAAATGTATTGTTACAAATGAACATATGACCCAAAATTGGGCAGTAAGACGATATATAAATTAAAAAAATAAAGCCGAATATTACAATTGAAACTATAACACTATATTCTTGTTGTTTTTTTCGTGTGTGTGAGTTTAATTACGTTGCACACATAGGTCATATGGCGACTTTCCATATTTACTGGTGAAGGAAGACCTTTGGTGCACTTCCGTACGAACGGGCAACTGAGAAGAACCTAGCCGACATACCGTTAGCTGCCTGCATACAGCTAGGTTCCTCCAGAGTCTCTGTCGGGATTCCAACCAGCAGTGACGAGTGATTTAGAGTCATCGACTGCTTAATTAACTAGTCGGCCACGGCCCTTAAAGTAAATAAAATGCAGACAATAACAAAAACTTCAAACGAAAATATACAAAATGTTATTATCTTTTTAACTTTATAATTTCATTGTACATGTACGATCACTAAAATAAATTACCTTATATACATCAACCTTATCTATCCAATAATAACAGTTAAAACTATATGACCCAGTAACTAGCCTGTGATATGATCTTTAAAGATTACTGTATATTTACTGATATATACTGATATTTAAACATGTACAGTTAATATATTATACATGTTGTATTTAAGTAGCACTGAAATTGTTGTCTTGAACAAATCCCGATTTAGGTCAGAATCTAAGAATCTTGTTTTGATTACGAAACAAAACCAAAACAAACAAAAAAGCAAAACAAACAAACAACAAGAAACATGGCAATGCCATGAAACCAGGTTTTCAATTATCACCATTGTAGATAAATATGTTGTATTTGAAATACAAATACAAGCAACAAACAATGTAACTATGTGCAATGTAAAACATGAATAATGTAGGAGGAATTGCCACTGAAGAAGTGTTCACTATAATATTATGTATAAGGAAAAAACAAGCGGCCATAATTAGGTCAAAAAACTATCCAATCAAACAAAACCCCTACAATATGTGCCAAGGTGCTTGATGACAAAGCTTCTGTGAAAGTTTGAACAAAAATCCGTTGAGAAATGTAGGACGAGTTCAGCACAGAAGAACTTTTGTTCACTAATAATTATATTGATATTCTGTATAATGAAAAACAAGTTACAAAGTAGACATGAAATAATATATCATATCTTTTTTAAATTACCTCCAAAGATGATATGACCTTTGACTGCCAAATCAAGTTAAAATCATGTAAACAGGATTTTCAATGTTAATGTCACTGTGACCTTGACCTTGGAGCCAGCCATGCGGAAAATGCGTTCTGCACGTCATCTTGATGTGGTAAACATTTGTCTGAAGTTTCATCAAAAATTCTTCAAAGGGTTGAAGAGTTACAGAGCGGACAGGATTTTCAATGTTAATGTCACTGTGACCTTGACCTTGGAGCCAGCCATGCGGAACATGCGTTCTTGCACGTCATCTTGATGTGGTAAACATTTGTCTGAAGTTTCATCAAAATTCTTCAAAGGGTTGAAGAGTTACAGAGCTGACACAATTTCGTTTGACGCCCGCCCGCCCATCCGCCCAGCCGCCCATCCGCCCGCCATACCCCAATCTAATAACCAGGATTTTCAAAATTGAAAACCTGGTTTAATATATCATATCTTTTTTAAATTACCTCCAAAGATGATATGACCTTTGACTGCCAAATCAAGTTAAAATTATGTAAACAGGATTTTCAATGTTAATGTCACTGTGACCTTGACCTTGGAGCCAGCCATGTGGAACATGCGTTTCTGCACGTCATCTTTGATGTGGTAAACATTTGTTCTGAAGTTTCATCAAAATTCTTCAAAGGGTTGAAGAGTTACAGAGCGGACAGGATTTTCAATGTTAATGTCACTGTGACCTTGACCTTGGAGCCAGCCATGCGGAACATGCGTTCTGCACGTCATCTTGATGTGGTAAACATTTGTCTGAAGTTTCATCAAAATTCTTCAAAGGGTTGAAGAGTTACAGAGCGGACACAATTTCGTTTGACGCCCGCCCATCCGCCCGCCATACCCCAATCTAATAACCAGGATTTTCAAAATTGAAAACCTGGTTAAAAATAAAAAAACAACAAAAAACGCCCTTCTTTAGTAACTAAAGATTATATAAGGATCCCCATCGACGTGTACAATACTTATTTACATAGTGGCACCGCTTGAAGTTGCGTAGCGATATGTAGCCGCCACTGCCAATGGGGCGCGATGTAGTTTTGAGTGCATATGCAACAACAGTTTATATATGTGTATTTATGTGAAATGGTGGTGACTGTGGTCAACTTACTTATTTCAACTGGAGATGGCGATTCGTTGCATACCGTCAGTTTAAAAAAAATCAACATTCACTTAAATTGTTAATTATAGTTAAATCCGGAGAATCACGGACTCTTTTAAGGTTGAGCGCTTCATTAAAAGTGGCGGCGTGGCCGAGTGGTTAACGCGTCGGACTAGTAATCTCACCGCGTGGGTTCAAACCCTGTAAGGGGCAAGCCGTTGTTTCCTTGAGCAAGAAACTTTACATTCATTGCTTAGTACTGCTTGGTTCCAGGAACGGATTCTAGTGTTTCAATAAGCTTATATAGCTTCCAGCACAATCGAACTTCAATAAATTTGTATAAACTTAAGACCATTTTACAAAAGCCAGGAGGCAGAGGCATTGACTGTAGAGGGCGGAGTTACTGTTTTCATCGTAACCTTACGGTTTCTACCGAAACCGCTCTTCACTGGTATCTCCGTAATTATTCATTCGGATACCTACCATGCACACAAGCGAGATGTTACAGATAACTGCAAAACTAATACTAATAACCTTTTTACCAATTGAAATAGGCAGACATTTGGCAATTGATCATAATAATAGGATCTGTTCCCTATGTCCGTATCAAGCTATTGGTGATGAATTTCACTACTTATTCGAATGTTCGTACTTTAGTTTAATGACAGAAGACGTAAATCTCTTCTTCCCAGTTTTTATATTCATCCCAATATTTTTAAACTTGACAGAATAATGAATATTTGTGATAAAAAGATTCTACTAAAATTATTTTTATTCTGTAATTTTAGCATTATGTTAAAATTTAGATAATTAGTACTTCTCATTTTTCGTTCCCATTTGTTACAATGTAAAATACATGTTGTATTGAAATGAACAATATGATCTCCTTGCTAGTCATAATTGTATATTTTTATTGTGATATTAGTGACTTTTGACTGTAATTTTTCTGTTCGTTTGTTTGTTATAACCAGTTGCATATCATATGCCTTGAATAAAAACTGAAAGTGAAACTCAAAGCGGGGTATTTCGGACATGTGAATGGGAAAATACGGACATTCAGTTTTTACCAATGAGTAGGCTGAAATACGGGCAATTTCTCAATTTTTTTTTTAAGAAACAAAACATATTCCTTTCGATCGGTACAAACGTGTGTTAATACCGGTATATACAATATTTAGCTTGTTGATTAATGAAATCAGAGCTATCTCCAAGTTCAATTATCTTTCAATAAAGCTATGTTAAAACATAAAACAATGCAACATAGTTAAGAGGAACACAAATTTCTCATTTCTTATTTGAGTTATTTTTCTTTCTTTTTTTCCTTGCACGTTTGGTTTCTATTTCAATCCTACGTTCATTTAACATACAACATTTAATCCCGTATAAAAGCCCTCCCGTTCTAAAAATGACAGGGCGGACAAATGCCAAAATGATTCATCTGACAAAAGCCCTCCGTATCATAAAAATCTATATGTATTTCCAAAACTGTAGCCTCACTTTCAATAATTTAACAGCGTCTTCAATAACAATATAGTCCAATTTTATAATTACTAATGTTGACCATGTTGAATAACCATGAAAATCATTCCTGCTTTAACAAAAGGTAACTTTTTATATAAATGTCGCTAACGTAATTCTCCTATTATATGAGACGGTATCGCCCTATAATCTGCTGCTCATCTAAAAAGGGGAAGGAAATAGGCATTAGGGAGGGGAGTGAATGGCATAGTAGCCTGCGGACGAGCATTAAAGGTATAATTTTCTACCATGTAAAATAATGTACAATAGGCTTTTAATTAAAATGTACTCTAATTTAATGATACTTCACAGGATAACAGAATACTATAAACAAGAATATAAACCTTTTTTTTCGACCTGAAGTGTTTTCTCGCGGATGCGCAATCTGCGTAGGGCAAAAAGTTTCAGTATAGTGGCCATGATAAAAAGGTATGGAAAAGACGACTATTCAAGAATTCCCCGTTATGATCACGGACCTGATATTGATGTGATGATTGTTGTAAAAATGTGAAAATATATCTTTTAGCAAATAATTTTAAAGAAGTCAACTTAATTGTTGTTGAAATATATTTACTAAATAAAATCTGTAACATATGAAATTATCATTCTGAAAAAAGCCAGAACGTGATAATGCATTTTCATTTTTTAGTTAACCTAATCTTATCCTTTACCCAATTCGAGAGTGATGCCAAATCCGGTGCCTTGTAACAAATGTGAATGTATGTCACAGTATTTAATTGTCACTTTACAAAATTAATGTACACTGATGAAATTGGTACTGTCATGTGTTAATCTATTTCACTCTTACGTAACGCCTTGCGAATCCACTAGCTAATTCAACAGTTCTTTTGCACTGCCCTTCTACTCAATGAGATTTATCTTCCTACAAAATTTGATCTTGGTATCTCTTGTAGTTTCAGAGTTATGTCCCAGACAAAGTTCAAAGTGTAAAAATAAACAAAGACCAATAACTCCAAAATTAGGGAAACAGAGTTACAAATCTTTTGCACTGCACTTCTACTCAGTGAGATATACTTTTTTCATTATTATTTTTTGTGGATACAGAAAAATAAAGGTCTTAAAAATAATAATTTTTGTTTGAATTTTATTGTTTATAAGTTCTGGATAACTAAGTATTTGACATAAACAAGAGGGCCATGATGGCCCTAGATCGCTCACCTGAATTATCAAACTCATCCAAACAATTACCTAGACAAGCATTCTGACCAAGTCTCATGACAGGTGAGTCAAAAATGTGACCACTACAGTGTTAACAAGGATTATCCATATTTGAGCAGTGCGACCTAGTTTTTTTTTACCCAGGTGACACATATTCAAACTTGACCTAGAAATCATCAAAACAAACTTTCAGACCAATTTCCAGGATACTTGGATCAAAACAGTAGCAACTAGAGTGTTAACAAGATTTTTCTATTTTTAGCTCCGGTGACCTAGTTTCACATTGCGATTTCGAACTCATCCAAGCAATTACCTAGACACAGCATTCTGACCAAGTCTCATGACAGGTGAGTCAAAAATGTGACCACTACAGTGTTAACAAGGATTATCCATATTTGAGCAGTGCGACCTAGTTTTTTACCCAGGTGACACATATTCAAACTTGACCTAGAAATCATCAAAACAAACTTTCAGACCAATTTCCAGGATACTTGGATCAAAACAGTAGCAACTAGAGTGTTAACAAGATTTTTTCTATTTTTAGCTCCGGTGACCTAGTTTCACATGCGATTTCGAACTCATCCAAGCAATTACCTAGACAAGCATTCTGACCAAGTTGATGATAATGGAGTCGAAAATGTGACCACTAGAATGTTAACAAGGTTTTTCAATACTTGGGCGGTGTGACCTAGTTTTTCATCCAAGATGACCCATGTTCGATCTTGACTTAGAAATCATCAAAACAAACTTTCAGACCAATTAACAGAATATTTGGATCACAACAGTAGCCACTAGAGTGTTAACAAGATTTTTCTATTTTTAGCTCCTGTGACCTAGTTTTTCATCCGAGATGTCCCATGTTCGATATATTCCCAGCAATGACCTAGACAAGTTTCCTGACCAAGTTTGATGACAATTGAGTCAAAATTGTGACCACTAGAGTGTTAACAAGGTTTTTCTATTTTTAGCTCCTGTGACCTAGTTTTTCATCCGAGATGACCCATGTTCGAACTCATCGGAGTTATTACCTAGACAAGCATCTTGATCAAGTTTGATGATGATTGATGCAAAAATGTGACCGCTAAAGTGTTAACAAGGTTTTCTATTTTTAGCTCCGGTGACCTACTTTTTCATCCGAGATGACCCATGTTCGAACTCATCCAAGCTATCAACTAGATAAGCATCCTGACCAAGTTTGATGATGATTGATGCAAAAATGTGACCGCTAGAGTGTTAACAAGGTTTTTCTATTTTATAGCTCCGGTGACCTAGTTTTTCATCCGAGATGACCCATATTCGAACTCATCCAAGCTATTATCTAAACAAGAATCCTGACAAAGTTTGATGATGATTGGGTCAAAAATGTGACCACTAGAGTGGTCACAAGGTTTTTCTATTTATAGCTCCTGTGACCTACTTTTTCATCCGAGATGACCCATGTTCGAACTCATCCGAGCTATCACCTAGACAAACATCCTGACCAAGTTTGATGATGATTGGGTCAAAAATGTGACCTCTAGAGTGTTCACAAGGTTTTTCTATTTTTAGCTCTTGTGACCTAGTTTTTCATCTGAGATGACCCATGTTCGAACTCATCCGAGCTTTCAACTAGATAAGCATCCTGACCAAGTTTGATGATGATTGAGGCAAAAATGTGACCGCTAGAGTGTTCACAAGCAATTGTGGACGGCCGGACGGACGACGGACGACGGACATTCATCGATCCTAAAAGCTCACCCTGAGCAAGCTCAGGTGAGCTAAAAAGGATATATTTGAAACAGACTATAGTAAATAGAGTTTTATGAAGACTAAGCATTACTAATGTACTACAAAAAAGTGAGATCAAACATAAAGGTCAACATGACCTCAATAACAGTTCACTCTTCTTTCTTCACATCAGAGATTTCCACACTGGACCATAAAGTGACTGGCATCTTTACAACTCTGCTGATAACTGTAATAAATAAAACAAAATATAACATTTTTTATAAATCTTTACCTTACATTATATCCAGCTTCAATTTTGAAAATTGTATATTTTCATATAAGGGGATATCAACAAGATGAAAATTAGAAGTTGTTAAGCCAGCAGTATAGAGCCAGGTCAGACTGCACAGGTATGCACACTGGCCTGGCTATATACTGCTGGCATTAAGGCTTGTAACTCACATTGGCATGACTATATACTGATGAAATAAAGGCTTGTCACTCACACTGGCCTGGCTATATACTGATGACATTAAGGCTTGTCACTCACTCACACTGGCCTGGCTATATACTGCTGACATTAAGGCTTGTCACTCACACTGGCCTGGCTATATACTGTTGACATTAAGGTTTGTCACTCACACTGGCATGACTATATACTGCTGACATTAAGGCTTGTCACTCACACTGGCCTGGCTATATACTGCTGACATTAAGGCTTGTCACTCACACTGGCATGGCTATATACTGTTGACATAAAGGCTTGTCACTCACACTGGCCTGGCTATATACTGCAGGCATTAAGGCTTGTCACTCACACTGGCATGACTATATACTGCTGACATTAATGTTTGTCACTCACACTGGCCTGGCTATATACTGTTGACATTAAGGCTTGTCACTCACACTGGCATGACTATATACTGCTGACATTAAGGCTTGTCACTCAAACTGGCATGGCTATATACTGTTGACATTAAGGCTTGTCACTCACATTGGCATGGCTATATACTGTTGACATTAATGTTTGTCACTCACACTGCATGACTATATACTGATGACATTAATGTTTGTCACTCACACTGGCATGACTATATACTGTTGACATTAAGGCTTGACACTCACACTGGCCAGGCTATATACTGCTGACATTTAGGCTTGTCACTCACACTGGCATGGCTATATACTGTTGACATTAAAGGCTTGTCACTCACACTGGCCTGGCTATATACTGCTGACATTAAGGCTTGTCACTCACACTGGCCTGGCTATATTTACTGCTGACATTAAGGCTTGTCACTCAAACTGGCATGGCTATATACTGTTGACATTAATGTTTGTCACTCACACTGGCATGACTATATACTGCTGACATTAAGGCTTGTCACTCACACTGGCCTGGCTATATACTGCTGACATTATGGCTTGTCACTCACACTGGCATGGCTATATACTGTTGACATAAAGGCTTGTCACTCACACTGGCCTGGCTATATACTGCAGGCATTAAGGCTTGTCACTCACACTGGCATAACTATATACTGCTGACATTAAGGCTTGTCACTCACACTGGACTGGCATGTCTATATACTGATGACATTAAGGCTTGTCACTCACATTGGCATGACTATATACTGATGACATTAATGCTTGTCACTCACACTGGCCTGGCTATATACTGCTGACATTAATGTTTGTCACTCACACTGGCCTGGCTATATACTGTTGACATTAAGGCTTGTCACTCACACTGGCATGACTATATACTGCTGACATTAAGGCTTGTCACTCAAACTGGCATGGCTATTACTGTTGACATTAAGGCTTGTCACTCACATTGGCATGGCTATATACTGTTGACATTAATGTTTGTCACTCACACTGGCATGACTATATACTGATGACATTAATGTTTGTCACTCACACTGGCATGACTATATACTGTTTGACATTAAGGCTTGACACTCACACTGGCCAGGCTATATACTGCTGACATTTAGGCTTGTCACTCACACTGGCATGGCTATATACTGTTGACATAAAGGCTTGTCACTCACCACACTGGCCTGGCTATATACTGCTGACATTAAGGCTTGTCACTCACACTGGCCTGGCTATATACTGCTGACATTAAGGCTTGTCACTCATCCTGATATGACTATATACTGCTGACATTAATGTTTGTCACTCACACTGGCATGACTATATACTGCTGACAATAATCTTTGTCACTCACACTGGCCTGGCTATATACTGATTAACATTAATGCTTGTCACTCACACTGGCCTGGCTATTTACTGCTGACATTAAGGCTTGTCACTCACACTGGCCTGGCTATATACTGCTGACATTAATGTTTGTCACTAACACTGACATGACTATATACTGATGACATAAAGGCTTGTCACTCACACTGTCCTGACTATATACTGATGACATTAATGTTTGTCACTCACACTGGCCTGGCTATATACTGGTGACATTAATGTTTGTCACTCACACTGGCCTGGCTATATACTGGTGACATTAATGTTTGTCACTCACACTGGCATGGCTATATATACTGTTGACATTAATGTTTGTCACTCACACTGGCATGACTATATACTGCTGACATTAATGTTTGTCACTCACACTGGCCTAGCTATATACTGCTGACATTAAGGCTTGTCACTCACACCGGCCTGGCTATATACTGTTGACATTAAGGTTGTCACTCACATTGGCATGACTATATACTGCTGGCATTAAGGCTTGTCACTCACACTGGCCTGGCTATATATACTGTTGACATTAAGGCTTGTCACTCACATTGGCATGGCTATATACTGTTTGACATTAATGTTTGTCACTCACACTGGCCTGGCTATATACTGGTGACATTAGGGCTTGTCACTCACACTGGCATGGCTATATACTGATGACATTAAGGCTTGTCACTCACACTGGCCTGGCTATATACTGGTGACATTAGGGCTTGTCACTCACATTGCAATGACTATATACTGCTGGCATTAAGGCTTGTCACTCACACTGGCCTGGCTATATACTGGTGACATTAGGGCTTGTCACTCACATTGGCATGGCTATATACTGTTGACATTAATGTTTGTCACTCACACTGGCCTGGCTATATACTGTTGACAATAAGGCTTGTCACTCACACTGGCCTGGCTATATACTGGTGACATTAATGTTTTGTCACTCACACTGGCATGGCTATATACTGTTGACATTAATGTTTGTCACTCACACTGGCATGACTATATACTGCTGACATTAAGGCTTGTCACTCACATTGGCATGACTATATACTGCTGGCATTAAGGCTTGTCACTCACACTGGCCTGGCTATATACTGTTGACATTAAGGCTTGTCACTCACATTGGCATGGCTATATACTGTTGACATTAATGTTTGTCACTCACACTGGCCTGGCTATATACTGGTGACATTAGGGCTTGTCACTCACACTGGCATGGCTATATACTGATGACATTAAGGCTTGTCACTCACACTGGCCTGGCTATATACTGGTGACATTAGGGCTTGTCACTCACATTGCAATGACTATATACTGCTGGCATTAAGGCTTGTCACTCACACTGGCCTGGCTATATACTGGTGACATTAGGGCTTGTCACACTCACATTGCAATGACTATATACTGCTGGCATTAAGGCTTGTCACTCACACTGGCATGGCTTTATACTGTTGACATTAAGGCTTGTCACTCACATTGGCATGGCTATATACTGTTGACATTAATGTTTGTCACTCACACTGGCCTGGCTTTATACTGTTGACATTAAGGCTTGTCACTCACACTGGCCTGGCTATATACTGGTGACATTAATGTTTGTCACTCACACTGGCATGGCTATATACTGTTGACATTAATGTTTGTCACTCACACTGGCATGACTATATACTGCTGACATTAATGTGTGTCACTCACACTGGCATGGCTATATACTGATGACATGAAGGCTTGTCACTCACACTGGCCTGGCTATATACTGATGACATTAACGCTTGTCACTCACACTGGCATGTCTATATTATGATGACATTAAGGCTTGTCACTCACACTGGCATGGCTATATACGGATGACATTAAGGCTTGTCACTCACACTGTCCTGACTATATACTGATGACATTAATGTTTGTCACTCACACTGGCCTGGCTATATACTGCTGATATTAATGTTTGTCACTCACACTGGCACGGCTATATACTGTTGACATTAAGGCTTGTCACACACACTGGCATGGCTATATACTGATGACATTAATGCTTGTCACTCACACTGGCACGACTATATACTGATGACATTAAGGCTTGTCACTCACACTGGCATGGCTATATACTGATGACATTAAGGCTTGTCACTCACACTGGCATGGCTATATACTGATGACATTAAGGCTTGTCACTCACACTGGCATGGCTATATACTGCTGACATTAATGTTTGTTACTCACACTGGCCTGGCTATATACTGATGACATTAAGGCTTGTCACTCACACTGGCATGGCTATATACTGGTGACATTAATGTTTGTTACTCACACTGGCATGGCTATATACTGGTGACATTAAGGCTTGTCACTCCACACTGTCCTGACTATATACTGCTGACATTAAGGCTTGTCACTCACACTGGCCTGGCTATATACTGCAGGCATTAAGGCTTGTCACTCACACTGGCATGACTATATACTGATGACATAAAGGCTTGTCACTCACACTGGCATGACTATATACTGCCTGACATTAATGTTTGTCACTCACACTGGCATGACTATATACTGATGACATTAAGGCTTGTCACTCACACTGGCATGGCTATATACTGATGACATTAAGGCTTGTCACTCACACTGGCATGACTATATACTGATGACATTAAGGCTTGTCACTCACACTTGCCTGACTATATACTGATGACATTAAGGCTTGTCACTCACACTGGCCTGGCTATATACTGATGACATTAAAGTTTGTCACTCACACTGGCATGACTATATACTGATGACATTAAGGCTTGTCACTCACACTGGCCTGGCTATATACTGCTGGCATTAAGGCTTGTCACTCACACTGGCCTGACTATATACTGATGACATTAAGGCTTGTCACTCACACTGGCCTGGCTATATACTGATGACATTAAAGTTTGTCACTCACACTGGCCTGGCTATATACTGCTGGCATTAAGGCTTGTCACTCACACTGGCATAACTATATACTGATGACATTAAGGCTTGTCACTCATACTGGCCTGGCTATATACTGATGACATTAATGTTTGTCACTCACACACTTGGGGTAAAATTTTAACAATTTTGGTAGAGGACCTGTAGATGATATAAACCAAATAACAAAGCTCTAAGCCTTGTAGGGTTTTACTTTCTGAAAACCGAACACCTGTGGGACTAGCCAAAAAGTTCGGAATTCTGAAGTTTCCGGAATTCAGAAGTTCAGAATTATCTGAACAAGTAAACTTATTATACATCAACTGTTTCATAGTAAGACATGATGAAAAATATATGAAGCTGATTAAATTAATAAAATATTTTTTTGAATTTCATTATCACCTATTACTGAATATGCTGATACAATAGCATAATGTTAATTATCACAATTTATTCTTTAGTTTATTTCATATACATGTAGTAGCTGCTATTTACCTGTAATTTTTTCATTTCATCACATTATTTTTCTCAAATTCTTAATTTTCACACTGTAAGCAAGTGTTTGTTGTAATTCTAATAAGTGTCAAGATAAATGGGTACTGGAAATTGGAAGATACTGACATTTTGAAGGTTTTTCAATAACAAGTATAATATTCCTTTACACCTTTTATAATTTCCGGATTTTGGAAGTAAATTTTAATTGATATAACCGAAATTTTACCAGAAAATCGTTCGGAATTCAGAATTTAGAAGTTCCATTATTCAGAGGTTATAATTACATAGAAAACAGAAGGAGAAATTTCGGGACCCTGAAAAATGTTCGGATTTCAAAACTTTCCGGATTTTAGAAGTTCCGGAATTCAGAAGTTACACTGTATCTTCAGTCAAGAAAATGTGTTAAGTTTTTACTATATGTGCTGTACATAATGAAAATCAATGACCCCCCACCCCCGGGCGGTGCCAATTTTAACCTTAGGGCTATAATTTGAACAATCTTGGTAAAGGTCCACTATATAATGTTTGAAGTTTCATGCCAAATATCTAACCTCGAGACTTTGTCCATTCAGAGAAGATTTTTTAAGGTTTTAATACTATATACATATAAGGAAAACCTATGACACCCCCACCCCTGGGGCTTGGCCGATTTTGACTCTAGGGCTATAATTTGAACAACCTTGGTAGAGGTCTGAATAACAATGCCTTTTGTAAAATATCTAAGTTTTAGGCCTTGTTGCCAGGTCTTAAGAAGAAAATTTTTTAAACTTTTTTTTATAATTTCTTTACAGTCGTCACACACACACACCCACGCATGCATACACGCACCCACACACAGGCAAATTTCTATATGCCACCACATGGCAGACACTTAAAACACTTACTGGATGTGTTGTCCTGTCATAATTTATTAAAATAAAGTGACACTTACTGGATGCTGTCCCTGTTACAGCACTACTTGCTCCATCAACAACAGTCTGGTACCTTGAACCTTCCATGTCTGTCTTACTACTAGCATCATCTTTAGTTTCAGCTGACTGGTTTGTGAATGGAAACAATAAAACACTACTTCCTTTGTCAATCAAACCATATGTCGCATGACCTGCTGTCTTTACTGTTGAATATGTACCTTTAACAAGAGCGATCAGTGATCACATGTGCCACCTCATGATGGCCAATTTCATGTTGGGACAAGTTTTGTGAAAGACGGACAGTGCACAACTAGACTTGGTACTGATCATTCCTGTAAAGTTTGGATGAAATTGCACCAGTAGTTTATGAGGAGAAGTCCGGACAAGCTTTTGTGTATCTGGCAACACACAGAAAAAAACACCTTTTTATCAAAGGGCTATAACTCGGCCAAAAATCATTCAACCGGAAAACCCGTGCAATATGCACAAGGACTTGAGCTACAGATCAATCCTGTAAAGTTTCATTGAAATTGCATTAGTGGTATAAGAGAAGTAGTCCGGACAAACTTTAAAAATAAAAATTATTAAAGGGCCATAACTCATAAATCATTGAACCGGAAAATGCTGACAATATGCACAACTAGACAACTGATCATTCCTGTAAAGTTTGGATGAAATTGCACCAGTAGTTTATGAGGAGTAGTCCGGACAAGTTTTGTGAAGGACGGACAGACGGACATTCTCACAGGACAGTAATTATGTGGCTACTCTATTGTTCTCTCTATTGTTCTTTTAGCCACACAAAAGAAAATAGCCACAATAAAGCATTACGGAATGAATGACATAAAAGAGAAAGAACAGTTACCTATTGTCCCTCTAGCCACATAATTACTGTCCTGTGAGTGCGGACAGATAGACAGAGGGACAGACAGACAGATGACGGAGAAGTGATCCCTATATGTCGCCACTACTCCGTAGAGGCGACACAAAAATGATATACAATTATTTGTAATTGTTATTTTGTTGAGTTTTTAGTCACACTAACAATTGACTAAATTCAAGTTAAACCAGGACAACTTATGCTTCACTGGTGAAGGAAGGCATCAGGTGGCTTATTTCAGGCACAAACAGGTACCTATATGAATTAGACACAATTAAGCAGGACCTTATCTAGACACAAATATGCACTTAAACTAGACACAATCAGGCACCTGCATGAACTAGACACATCTAGACACAATCAGGCACCTGCATGAACTAGACACTAAAGGTACAAAGAAAAAAAGACAGGCACCCAAACTAGGCACAAACAGGCACCTAAACTAGACACAAACAGGCACCTTTCCTAGACACAAGCAGGGACCTTAACTAGACACAAACAGGCACCTTTCCTAGACACAAGCAGGGACCTTAACTAGACACAAACAGGCACCTTAACTAGACATAAGAAGGCACATAAGCAACATACAAATAGGCACCCAAAGTAGACAAAAGCAGGATCCTTTACTAGACACAAACAGACACCTGAACTTGACACAATCAGGCACCTGCCTAAACTAGAAACTAAAGGTACATAGACACCCAAACTAGACACAATCAGGCACCTGAACTAGACACAAACAGGCCCCTGAGCAAGGCACAGATAGGCACATGGATAAACAGGCTCCTGGACTAGACACAAACAGGCACTTGAACTAGACACAAACAGACACCTGGACTAGACACAAACAGGCACCTGAACTAGACTCTTACAGGCACTTGAACTAGACACAAACAGGCACCTGAACTAGACACAAACAGGCACCTGAGCTAGGCACAGATAGGCACATGGATAAACAGGCACCTGAACTAGACACAAACAGGCACATGAACTAGACACAAACAGGTTCCTGAACTAGACACAAACAAGCACCTGAACCCTGAACTAGACACAAACAAGCACTTAAACTACACACAAACAGGCACCTGAACTAGACACGAACAGGCACATGAACTAGACTCAAACAAGCACCTGAACTAGACACAAACAAGCCCCTGGACTAGACACAAGTAGGCATCTGAACTAGGCACAAACATGCACCCAAAGTAGACACCAACAGGTACCTGCATAAACAAGACACAAGCAGGTACCTGGCCTATAAGTACTTAAGTTCTATTAAGATAGGTCATTTAATATAAAAATAATTCAGTAATACATCCTTTACAAACATTTTAAACTTATGTCAACTTATCAGTTCTTCAGGGAATTTACTAACTTTTAAACTAATAAATTATGGAATAGTCATGGTAATGTTGTTTAAAGGAAACAAATTAGATAATGAAAACAAGTCAAGAAAAGAAAACAAGTTAAGTTATATAATATTTGAAAAAAAAAAACTTACTACTGGCTGCCCTTGTAATTACATCACTAGTCATGTTGCACGCTGACAGTAAGGCTGATGAGGTACCTTCAATAACATATTAATATTATAACATAATTACTATAACAAGAGCCACCACTGGGTGGGGGCAACGCTTGACTTTTTTTACTTTTTCTAGTTTGATATACATGAAGGTCCTGACCTTAAAGATCTTGTGTCTTAATATAGAGATAATCCCTTTATAAATAACAAATTATAGCCAGTTACAGAATAAAATAAAAGAATTTCATTTATTTGACCTTGACAGTCAAGGTCAATTTAAGGTCAACCTCCCATCTAAATCATTCAATATGTTTGTTTGGTAGGATGTCTTGTTTTGTCCAAGTTTAAATCAAATCTGCATATTAATAACAAAATAATGACAATTTAACCAAAATTCAATAATTTGACCTTGACGGTCAAGGTCATTTAAAGGTCAAGGTCAGTTCATCTTTTTAGAAAGTCTTGTCCAAAATGTTGTTTTGTCAAAGTATGAAGATAATCCATTCATAAATTATCAAGTTACAGTCAATTATAGAAAAAAATCAGTGAAAATTCAATAATTTAACCTTCAAGGTGATGAAAAAGCCAAGGTTAATTTGAGTTTGATATACATGGAAGTTTTATCCTAATAAATGTTATAATGGGAAGTCAATCCATTCAAAAATAAAAGTAAAAAAAATTAAAGTTTTTGCCAGCTACAGCAAAAAAAATATGAAACTTTCAATAACTTGACACTCAAGGTCAAGGTCATTTATGAGTGGAGGTCAATGTCTGTCTGATTAACTTGATAGTCTATCCTATAATAATAATAATAATAATAATAATAATAATAATAATAATAATATCTTTATTTAAAGAAGGTTACACATTAAGAACATACAATAACAATCATATATCTTATTTCCAATGTGGCCTTCTGTAATAGAAAACAACAACAACAACAACAGGATATGCATAGGTAGAAAAATGAATGTATAATATGTAATTTTTAGAATAATACAACTCATATACTTTCGACAGACACTCAACAATTTGTTTAAACATATATGTATATTGCATCATTCGTTCGTTCGTTCATATATTTATTCATTCATTCATTCACTCATATGAACATTAAGATATGCTTTGTATTTTTCTTTAAAACATTTAAGGTTATTAACATTATGAATATTTAAAGGTATATTGTTCCAAATGTTCATGCCATAATAAGAAAATGTGTCTTTAATATAATTTAATCCTAAAAGATTATTATGTCCAAGTTTGAGGACAATCCATTCAAAAATAAAGTTATAACTAATAGCAAAAATCAGCAAAAAAAACAAGCAAAATTTAGAGATTGACCTTGAAGGGCAAGGTCATTTATGAATGAAGGTCAAGGTTAGTCTGGTCTGTTTGAAGGTATTGTACAAAGGGTTGTTGTGGCCAAGTATGAAGACAATACATCGAGAACTGAAAAAAATTTGATCAAGGTACAGCAACTGTAACAGTACCTATGTATTTTTAACTTCTGGAAAAAAATGAGCTAAAAGTGACATAGAGGATAATAACTGCTACACCCAGCAGAATTATTTCTATTTTTAGTGGTTTCAGACAACTTTAAAATGCTATAATGCAATTCATATAAATATAATCTATAAGCTATGTATCATGCAATTTCAAACAAGAAGATTTTATTATCTATACAGTCATATATTTTCTTTTTCATTTTCATCTATATTAAATAAGTGACCATGAGATTTTATTTTAGTCTTTACACATACCTGTAACATTTGATTGATTAATATTGTGTTAAGGCATTAGGGAAAGCAACATTCTTAATGTCTAAGCTTTAGACTTCAGAGTATCTGACAAAACAGATTTTTTAGTTCTTTATTGTGAAAATTTATCAAAGCTCTAATGTGGCCTACTTATCAATTCCTTACTAAGATCATTTGAATATTAACGATTCATTAATTCTGCCAGACACGGACAAAGTAATTTTATCAACCTACACATAGTTTTACTTGAATATGCATCTTTTTTGTTTGTAATTTTTTGTTTGGTTTTATGGCACACAAACACAGTTCAGGTTATATGGCGCAGAAAGAGAAATGCATATTTCACAATGTTCTTACCTCCATTTACAACTGATTTATTATCTGAATCCTCTATAACAGTTTTGCTACTTGTATCTTCTGCAACATGGATATTGTTTGTAGATGGTGCTAGCCATACTGCCCCACTGACAGCACTCCCTATAAGAATGCCTGTCTTAGTAGAAATTCCTAAAACACCAGCTGATTGCATTGCTGCAACAAAACCTTAAATTATAAAAAAAAACATTATAAAACAAATCAATTCAGGTATTCAACAATATCAAAAGTTATAAAATAAATCATTTTAAGTACATGTAATAAATAGATCAATTTGATATACAATGTACACTTAACGGCTTTTCTAACTCCACATTTTCATCTTTTATTATCTTTTTTATTTAAAGTATTAATTTTATCAATTTTTGTCTACCGTCATAAAACGGGTTGATAAATATTTTGGCATGTATAAAATTGAGCGCAAACCAGTCTAACTATCTGTTATGCACGTGCATTCTGCAGGGCTACAGATAACATTTTATATATATTGGGTGATTACCCCTTGTTTTGTGATCTATTGGTTTTTTTTCTATTTTCTTAGAGTTATTTGTGTATTTTTTACCCTATCCTCTCTAACCAATTTGGGCTTTAAAGCACAAATTCATGTATTTTACCCAAAATTTCTGACCTTCATTGTAGACTGTTGTAGGTTTTGTATGGTAATAAAAAAGCTACTTGCTACTATGCTTCATGGTTTATTGGCCTAGGAGATTTCCAAGCTGCCTGATATAATAATTTAAAGGTTAAAACAGTCTGAAACAGTATGATCTGCCTGATGTATGACGTTAAGTATAACTGACGTTTTTACCCACCAGTTCCATGTCTTACCCTTAGTTATTATTTCTATTGCGTTTTTTGACATTTTAATTTGGTTATTACGCAAATACGCACATTATCTGCAGCCCTGCATTTTGTATGTTGTGATTACAAAAGTTGTACACCTACAAAATTGATAAAAATTTGCTTTATATTGACTTTCAAGTCAAGAAATCATAAAATTATTGAAATTTATTAAACAATGTGGCGATTGACACTGAGAAGAAAGAGTATGTGCAGTTGGGATGGTCCAAAGTGGGGTTTCTAATAGACAGGGCTAGAAAATGCTCTTATTAGGATGTAGAATGCAATTCCACAGGGTTATATCTCTTAATACAATGCGTTCCAGATCTGCAGTCATCAGAGTTCAGGGCGGACACAACATATATTAAGGTTATAGAAATGTGACATTTGATTTTACAGGTATTGCTGGTAAAAACATGTGGTTAATCGATATTTAACTTGATCGTTATTATTTTAATGTTTTTTATAAATGACATGATGAATTAAAATTGTGTAAAACTAGAACTCTGCGAGTCGGATGTGTCGCCTTGTGAACAATATAGTTTAGGAGAAATGGCCAGGAAAAAAATGAAATATTAAAACTAACAAACGTCAATAACTCAAAATATAATAAGTGCAGAGCAACAGTTTCTATGTACTGCACTTCTTATCAAGATCTATCATTCTATGAGGTTTCAAGTCAATATCTTTTATAAGTTATGAGAAATAGCCTGGACAAAAATAAAGTATGAAAATTAATAAAGGGTAATAACTCACAAATAAGAAGTGCAGAATACCAGTTCTTAAACACTGCACTTTTTCTTAATGAGATCTATCATCCTATGAAGTTTCATCTCCATAGCTTTCATACTTGAGGAGAAATGACCGGGACAAAGTATGAAAATTAACAAAGGGCAATAACTCAAAAAATAAGAAATGCAGAGTACTGGTTCTTGTGCACTGCACTTCTTCTTAATGAGATCTATTATCCTATGAAGTTTCAAGTCCATAGCTTTGACACTTTCGGAGAAATGGCCCGGACAAAAATAAAGTATGAAAATTAAGAAAGGGCAATAACTCCAAAAATAAAAAATGCAAAGTAACACTTCTTATGCACTGCACTTCTTCTTAATGAGATCTATCATCCTATGAAGTTTTAAGTCCATAGCTTTTATACTTTAGGAGAAATGGCCCGGACAAAAAAAAAAGAAAATTAACAAAGGGCAATAACTCAAAAATAAGAAATGCAGAGTACCGGTTCTTGTGCACTGCACTTCTTCTTAATGAGATCTATCATCCTATGAAGTTTCAAGTCCATAGCTTTTATAGTTGAAGAGAAATGGCCCGGACAAAATTAAAGTATGAAAATTAACAAAGGGCAATAACTAAAAAATTAAGAAGTGCAGAGTACCAGTCCTTGTGCACTGCACTTTGGGTTATTGAAAGAAGCTTGCATACCAAGTTTAAAGTCAATCAGACTTAAAGTGACTGAGTTATGCTCCGGACAAGCTTTAGTGACAAAAGTAATCCCTATATGTCACCTTTTCAAGGCGACACAAAAGGTAAAATTATTGTAAAATTTTATTTTTTTAAAAAGATATTTAAGCCAAAACACACGTGTGGAGTTAGAAAAGCCGTTAAGTATATATTAAGTAATAACTAAAACGATTAATTAATTAAATCTTATATAAATAACAATCTGATGACAAAAATACAACTTTTGCTTAATTACAACTGTCACAACAAGTTATATATCTAACGCAGATAACATTGAATTTTTTCAAAGAAGTTTTCACTTTAATAAAAAAATATATAAAAAAATTTCATTTTCAAATTATAAAATAGAGTAATATACTACACAACATTAAAAAATAATAATCTGCCACATATAACACGGCACTAACATCCTTTCATTGTTTAAAGTGCATAGGTCTACAATGGGCACATTTTCTGTAAGTTATAATTTCAAATATTGATGTAAACAACAAAAAGGTAGTCGATGGCCAGTTTTGAGTGATTTAGAACACATATTTATATGATGAATAACAATATTTTGCTCCAGAACATTCTATTTTTTGCTATATGTAATATCTGGTCAGAATCTCACACTTGCCAACAACTTCCATGTATAATTTTTTTCATTGTTTGGTGTTTGTCTAATACTTAAACTAAATCAAGGCAATGCCATAAAATTTCATCACAACATTGTAAATGAGTCACTGTATACATGTATTACAAATACATGTGTAATTTAATTTTAACTTCAAGCTATTCTAAGTCACTGATATGCATGCATGCATATTGGTATAACAGTCAAGGAGGCTCTATACCTGGTAGCTTTTATTTTTTTTACATATTGTATAATCCCTTAATTATTAGATACACATCAGATGGACTGATCCAAATGGAGAGCAAAAATCCATCAGGTTTAGAGTTAAAATCAGAGCATTGTCAAATGTCTAAGAAAATTTCTAGAATACAACAAAGACATACTAGTGGCTGGTACTCCTCCACCATTTGCTACAGCTACCATGGACATCAACTTGGCTGCTACAGAGCCCGAACCAATTCCACCTGCTTTAAATCCTATGGTAGATATAACCAAAGGGGCTCCTACATATACAGATGGTACTGCCACAGCTGATGCTATACCAATTTTTTTCCATGGTATATTTTCAAGCGTTTCTGGTGTTCCTATGCATGAACCTATTTTCTTCAAAGGTATTTTTGATACAGCTTGGTTTATTTGCTCTAGTGTTGACATATTTGTCTGAAATAAATCAAATATTGCTTAGCCTTTAAAGGAACTCCACTGAGGTTTGTCAGGCAATAATGGTGTCCCCAATAAAATGTACACAAATTTCTACACAAATCACAATATTATAACTAAAATAACAATGATTTACCTTTAACAACAATTATGCTAGAAAATGCATTTTTTACATGAGCTTTTGATGCAGAAATGAAAGTTGGATTTCCCAGACATGTACAGATGTTACCCACAATCAATCGGGTATGACTTAAATACGCAATGGAGTTTTTCGGGGAAGAGGGGGGGGTGGGCGGAGGGGGCAAGGGAGTAAACGGCCAAATGTCATCATATAAAGTTAAAGACCCCTTTAATGAAACCATTATTATGAAGTGTGTCAACACGTATATTGTGTTTCTTTTACAAACGTCTAATTTTTAGGGGAAGGATTTATTTTGAAAAAACACAATGTTTTATTAGACAGTATTAGTTAAAATATCCTTTATTAATGGTTTAGACAGTCCAAGAATACAATTATAATAAAAAAATCTCAAGAATTTTTAATACATGTTTGTCAATATACAATTTTTAGACAATGTGTTTCAAGATAACAACAAGAACGTGTTTGTTAAACACAAATGCCCCCGGCTCAGATTCTTGTCAGTAGCAATATTTCAAAAAATGTTTACCCACTCACTCAGTTATGGACAGAAAATTTGCCAAAAAATTGTAAACACAAGTTATATAGCTTGACAAAGTCATGGCATTTTGTAATTGTGAAAAATATAAGCTCTGACTTGTGAAGTTGAAAAACATTCAACTTCATGCAAGTTATCTTCCTACCAAATATGAAATACATCTGTCAATAAATAAAGGCTGTATGGGCAAAAGTGCAAAAATCTATTTTTAGCACTGCTGACCTTGACCAACTGACCCCTTAATCCATCCAAAGGAAGAATACCATACAAGTTATCTTCCTACCAAATATGAAATACATCTGTCAATAAATAAAAGCTGTATGGGCAAAAGTGTAAAAATCTATTTTTAGCACAAGTGACTTTGAGACCCACTGATCCCTACCCCAATCTAAAGGATGAATACCATGCAAGTTATCTTCCTACCAAATATAAAATTTATCTGTCACTTAATAAAGACTGTATGAGCAAATGTGTAAAAATCTATTTTTAGCACTGGTGACCTTGACCCAACTGACCACTAACTCCATCAAAGTTTATGTTTCTATCAATTATAAATAACATCTGTCTATAGAATAAGGTCAATACACCTGTAGATAATGTAGAAATCTATTTTTAACATTGGTGACCTTGACATTGGTAACATTGACCTTGACCCAAATGACCCCTTACTACACCCAAAGAAGGAGGACCTCCCTTGGCATGTTTGTATTAAACTAAGACATCAACTAAAAAATAAAGGCTGTATGAGCAAAAATGCTTGACCTTGACCCTAGAGACCGCTTACTCCACAAAAAATTAGAGGACCATCTAAATGTGAAAGTTATCATTAACCCTTTACCTCATATATACGCGAAACAACACACTTTTGACCCCCCCCCCTGCCTATTTAAGGCCTGAAATAGCGAAAAAATGTCCTATTGGGGCCCCAAACACATGTTTTTGTTTGAGAAATGTTGCTAAAAAAAGTGAGCATTATTTCGGCGCCACCCCCCATCCAAAAGATACATCAGGGGGTTGCCAGAAGGGGGGTGTGCCCCCTTCTGTTTGGGGGGTTTGAAGGGGGGCGGAGTCCCCCTCATCGCCAAGAAAATTTTGGACTTGTGAGAGGCTTAAAATGACCCCAGGCCGATCATAAGATCATAAGGTAACGTGTAACCAACGCTGAAGCCGAGAAGTTGCAGCACTTTGAAATAAATTTTGATGGAAAAAATCGAGGCAAAATAGTGATTTTTGGCAATTTTGAGATGTCCCCTCGTTGCCATGGTAACAGGAAATTTAAGACTGAGCATGTCGTTACAAAGGCAATGGTCCAGTTAACATATATGCGAAGTTTGATTAGTATTGAAGCATTTTTCATAGTTTCATAGCATTTTGAACTTGTAAGAAGGAGGCTTTTCAGTGAAAACGGCCATTTTTCACAATATGCTCATGAGGGAAAGGGTTAAAGAAATTAAGCAATTAGGAGAAATTTAAGATAAATCCAACTTGCCGAAATATTTTAAAGGTTAACCAGACAAGGCCCTATTTTCAAAGAAAAAAAAGGGAAATAGCTGCATGGAAATATGGATGACACAGTTATATAACTAGGCAATATCATGTACTTTGTATTGATAAGTAAGTGTGGAAATTATAAAGCAATTAGTATAGATAGAACTTAAGATATTTCCAACTTGCCGTTTTAGGACTAAGGTTAACCGATTATTCATTTTCTAAGTGCTGAAAAGGGCAATAACTTAGTAAATATGAAAGCCAGAGTTATGTCACTTGCCCAGGTCATGTACTTTGTATTGATTAGTAAGTGTGTAAACTTAGAAGCCATTGGTACAGGTAGAACTTAAGAAAAATCCAACTTGCCCTTCTGGGTTAACCTTGTACGGACAGACGGACGGACAGTCTTACCAGAGCTAAATTATGGGTTTTTTTTTGTTATTTCTTTTGTTCTTTTTAACCCCACAATGCAGAAAATAACCCCACAAGAGAAACGGAATGAATGACATCAAAGACATAAATTGTTATGGGAACAATAGACCAAACCCCATAATGTAGCTCTGGTTTGTACGGACGGACGGACGGACGGACGGTTCAATTACTATATGCCCTGGGGCATAATAACAATAAGTAATAAAAATTAAGTTGGAGGAAATAATTACACACTTTGCATAATATGAGTTTAACATTTTGATAATTAAAATAGGTAACAATTTGTACCATGTTAACAAAATGTAAATGATAAGCACTTAACTAAATTACATTACAGAATGTAATGTTTAATGTGTAACAATTTCTTCGAGCTGTATCTCTGGCTCTGGATAGATATTTGAATGTTTTAATAATAATAATTAATTTTCCTTGGGCAGCCTGCCTAATAATAATAATAATAATAATAAATTTTCCTCGGGCAGCCTGCCTATTGATTGGAGACAAATGATTCTACAAATGATTGGTAATATTACATAATCAAACATACGGTAAGTTATCTAAGTACATGAACATGAAAACATTCATAATTATACTTCATTATTATTTCCTGTCAGTAACGTAGAGCTTCGTAATCTATTCAGATAAATATACTATATGTCTCTGTCTCCAGACCACACTCACTGATAATAAAAACTTCTACGACCCAGACTGCTATCTTATACTACCTACTTCCTTTCTCCGCAATTACATTCTGATCCTTTTGTTTTTTTAATTGCGTTTATTTAAGGTTGCCGCCGGAAAGCCCATATGGGCGACCGAACACTCAAGTCGGGCCATCCTAGAGCGTCCCGCCGAGATTTTTTCCAGCTTTATTGGTGGAGGAAGACCCCAGGTGCCCCTCCGTGCATTATTTCAGGCACGAGCGGGCACCTGGGTAGAACCACCGACCTTCCGTAAGCCAGCTGGATGGCTTCCTCACACGAAAGATTTCGACCCGAGTGAGGATCGAACCTACAGCGGTGAGGGACCTGTGATCTCAAGTCAGCGACCTTAACCACTCGGCCACGGAGGCCCCCACAATGATCTTCTTGCTCTATTGTTCACTATTATATACAACCTACCTTACAAGCTTAATGCTGATGGTCCAAATGGCATGGGTCATTCCATTTAAATTGGATCAATTCATTTTCTAATTAAAGTTACACATAAGGGGTGTTTAATTAAACGGTTAAATGTTTTTAACCGTTTAATTAAGTATATACTTTTATAATTTCTATTTAAATATTATTATCGCATGGTTTGGAACTTTTCTTTTGCTCTTCCTTAAACCCATTAATTTATACTCAGTACACTTTCAATGAGCATTTGAAAACTGTATTGATCTATAGCAGTACAGTTTTTTCATTGATTCATATAGGAAACTAGAAATGTGTCATCATGCCAAATTTGTTTGCGCAAATAATTTTTTTCATTCTAAGTTCAAAGCCCTTAAAACTTTTCAATGTTAACACAGTTTTTTTTATACAATGTTCAAGGCACTGAAATTATTCAGTCTTAACCTTTTGAAAATAGCATATTGCATATTTGTAGCCAAAATAATGGCTATATACATTTCCACAAAAGTATGAGTGCTGCAACTGAATGTTCAAAATTTTTCCAACATTCAGGAAAGATAAGTTTGTCCAAATTCATTGAATCACAACCAAATTCAAACTTTAACTGCTTATTCCTATGATGTATCTATATTATTTTCAAAATGAAAGGGACATAACTCTGCCAAAAAATCATCGAACCATGACCAAATTCCAACTTGACCTGCGCATTCCTTTGACGTATCCATATGTCAAGTTTGAGTTGAATGTGTTGTACCATTGGGGAGATAATGAACGGAAACTGAAAAATTCATATTATTTTCAAAGTAAAAGGGGCATAACTCTGCCAAAAATCATCGAATCATAACCAAATTCGAACTTGACCTGTATTTTCTCATGACATATCCATATGTCAAGTTTGAGTTGAATGTGTTGTACAGTTGGGGAGATAATGAACAGAAACTGAAAAATTCATATTATTTTCAAAGTAAAAGGGGCATAACTCTGCCAAAAATCATCGAACCATGACCAATTTCGAACTTGACCTGTATTTTCTCATGACATATCCATATGTCAAATTTAAGTTCAATATGTGCAATGGTAATTAAGATAAAGAACGGAAACTGATGATGACGGAAGGACGGAATGACGGAACAGGGTAACACTATATGCCCCTGCCATTATATGGCGGGGGCATAAAAAACTCAAATTTTTTATGCACCTATGGGTTGAGGTTTTTTCAGAGGCTGCAATAGGGCATCGGTAACGAACATTCGGAATACTGTAATTCAATGAAATACAATTTATTCGC